TCCCACGTCAAACTTCCCATCTGTTGCCCAGGGTCCATCATGGGCTCTGGGGTGTGATGAAACCTTTCCCCACAGAAAGAGCTCATTCCTCTCCTTAGAAAGGAGGTGCAGGGGATGGGCCTGCTCTTTTCTTTCCGCACCCATCACATGGCCGATGGGCCCTGTGCGAGGCACTGGACAGACAGGAAGAAAACAGGGTAACACCTCCAAAGGATTCGGTGTGGCAGGTCAGACAGAGACAACAGTGTGCTGGGAAAGAAGGAAGCAGTGGTGGCTGGGGAAGCCCAAAGGTGGGAACCTAACACAGGCTGGGGGCTGGAGCATTTCCTGGAAGAGGTAATGCTTAAACTGAGATTAGAAGGAAGGACATGCATCAGCCAAAAGGAGAGCAGAGCTGGGAGCGGATCTGGGAAACCCGTGGACTAGTAAACTTTCTTTACTGGAGTTTTCAGCACGGTTCCTTAAACTGATGGCCCTGTGGGCAGTGTATAACAAGTCCATCCAGCTCTCTGCAGGCTCGACAGCCCAAGAGCGGGCCTCACCTCGCTGTCGTGCAGTTTGGCCACAGAACTGTTTGACAGCAGGCTGAGAGCAGCATCTGGGGTGGCCCTAGGGGTGGAGGGCAGAATGTGGCTCCCTGTCTGTACGCATCTGGGAGAAGTTTTTGTCATTTGCTATGATACATTCTGTGCCTTCTTTGAAAAGGTTTGCAAAATCTTTATCTGCTCCTTAGAACACAGGATTTTTAAAGGTCAATCTCTCTCCTGTCTCTTATCACAAGAAACGTGGTTTAGAGAGAGTCTGAACAGCGAACATATTCTATGGCTTTGACGTGAATTCTCCATTCCAACAATGGGAGATGGGCAGAAAAGGGAGGACGGAGAGCTTTGTTCTTAGTTTCCCTTAAATTTCTCCGTCCATGCTGCATCTATCAATTATCCGTATTGCAATCCATGAGGGTTCTTCATGGGACTGACAGTGTCTAAAGAGATGAACACACCTTGAAGTTGCTTAAAGGTCCTTTATCAAAAGGAGTCTGGTTACTTAAATTCCAGTGGATTTTTGATTTTGGCTTCCTTTTTTAAGGGGCAGGTTCCATTCTCATCCTAGCTTTCCCACTGACCCACTGTGTGACTTCGGGAATATCACTTCAGCTCAGTGAGCCTTGGTTTCCCTGCATGTACATGTCTGCCCTGCAAGTATGTTTAAAGGGCTGGAGATTGTGGACACAGAGGGTCCAGCAGAGGGCCTGGCACTTAGAGATGCTATCTGAATGAGGGCTATTGTTTTCCTTTATGGGCATTTGAATTTTTTTCTTCTAGCAGTGAGCTTGTAACAGTTTGGATTACAAATTTTAACTAAGAGATGAAAAAAGCCAAAATATATTATTATACAGCGAAATACAGTATAGTCACAGAAGAAAGAGAACTGACATTTGCAGGTAATGAACTGAGGCTTAGAGAAACTGAATCACTCACTCAAGATAACAACCATAAGTGAACACAGAAACCAACATAAAGCTAGACCCAACTCAGCCATACTGTGAATTTTTTTTTGTCTAAAACATGGCAATAGCATTCTTAACGAAGCTTGAAATTAAAGTTTAATTTGTCAAGGATTGCTTTAAGCCTAGCAAACTGGGAAAGAAGAGAAACCAGAAGTTCTCAGATAACTTGAAGAGGCACGGTTGAGTTTATGATGGAGCTGTGAGCCTGAGGTCTGGGCACACTGAAAAGCTCTCACATGGCTGGACCTCACGGACTATGCAGTTTCTGCCACCTGCCAGCTGTGTGACCCGGGCAAAATATTTCTGCTCACTAAGCCCTAGCTAGCTTCCTCATCAGGAGGAGATAGTCAGGGGATAAGAATACCACATACCTCCCAGTGTTCTTGGGTGGTCATGCAACTGCTTTCCAAACTGTAAAGTGACATACGAGTTACCACTGCCATCCTCTGGTCTGCTCTGTGGTACTGCTGTAGTCTACTTAAAATCGAATAAGTACTACCACCACATTTCTAGGAGGAGGGTAAATCACTGGGAGGAGGTGGCCCATAAGATCACACAGAATAGCTCAAGAGTCTTGAGTCCTACTCCAGCCATGTTAACAACCTTCTGTGTGACTTTGATATGTCCACTCTCTGGCCTCCAGTTTCCCTGTCTGTAACGGGTACGGAGCTGAAGTGTGTTCTCTGTCTCTTCCTGTCCTGTGACTTGACATTAGCCTCCGCTAATTCCTTCTCCAAGTCCCCGAGTCACATCAGCCAAAAACACTCACTCAGTGAGACGCTAACGTTTTCTCCCTCCACCCTGACTTATGTACTTGGGATGATGCTGTGGCCCACATCATGGCTGAAATAAAGACACTTATTTCATTCTGCCTCCATTAGATTTAGTTGTTTGGGTAACAATTTCTTCCAAATGACTGGGGGCTTCCTGAGGGAGAAAGATTGGGACATGTTCATTGGTCTTTATCTCCTCTCTAAAAGGAAAGTGGTGCCTGGCAGACATCAGGAGCCCAAGAAATGTGTGCCCGACAGGACTGAAGACAGCCAAGTGCTAAATCTGGCTCACACTTGTGTTGCCTTGTACAGCCTGCTGTTTCTCCCTCCACTAAAACTGTCCCCTTTTGGCCAAGACCTAGAGTGATAGAGGGGCCAGTGAGGACAGCCTTGCCCCGCCAGCACCTGGGGACAGTCTACCCCCTACCATTGTTTCATCTGTGCCACTTTGCAAAGTGGGGACCCCCTGCCCCTTTCCTTGGGCTCCCACAAAACTGAGATGATCCTGAAGTAAGATATTCCCCTGGAGTCTGGATCAGCCCCATTTCCTATGATGAGAAGCTCCTTCTCCCACCAAATCTGTGGGCCTTTCGGCTCCTGTGTGCCCATGCTGGAGGGCTGGCTCCGAAGGATGGTGAACAGGGGCTACGCTGGCATTGCGTTTTGTACGAGGGAATAAATGAACCTTGTTTTATAACCTGTTCTGTGATGCGTGTTACGGGGAGGGGCACCCTCTCCCCACATTTTTCAAGGACACTCAGTTCTTTTGCTGCCCAGACATTCAACAGCTGTTTGAAGGCTTGGGCCAAGACCCTAGATTCTTGAGAAGGGAACGGCTTCATGGCACGGCTCCTCTCCCCTTCTAATTACCCAAATGTCATTGCTCGTCATGGAACTAAGCCTGCAAAGGCAGAGTGAAGGGGGTGCTGAGGAAGCCAGGCAGGTGACCTGGGCTGCCGTCTCTTTCCCATGAAGAGCAAGTATGATTGAGTTTCATCTTCCCTGAAGACAGGGATACTCGCGCCTGCCCTGCTTCACTCGGGACGCTTTCTCTGAAGGGAAAGCCCTTTCCTTTCCAAGGAACACCTGCCTCCTCAAGCACCACCTTCTGGATGAACGTTCTCCTACTCCCACACAACCAGTACAGAACTCTGCAGCATCTCCCGCCACCGTCCATTAGCACTTACCTTTGGTCTCCCTCCCTCATTCAAGTTCCTGGAGTGTGGGGACAGGACCTGTTTGTCTCTGTGCCTGGCCGAGGGCCTGACCCCATAACAGGGACCCTGGATATTTTTGGGAGCACAGAAATTAATAATGAGCTCCAAAACTCTCAGACTGAATAAGGGACATTTCAGCCCTGTGAGATCTCAGGAGAGTATGGACCCGCTGTCTCTCCCTGGCTACCACGGCCCGACCCCACAAGCTCCTTGTCGGTTATTACTCCATGGGGCCCAGGACTGGGTATAGCAGGCCTGACCATCTCCTGGATTCAGGCAGCAGGGAGAAGGACTGAAAGCTGGCTCAGACAGAGACCAGCCACCTGAAACAGCCCAAGATTGTTGGAGCCAGCTCAAGGCACATGAACCAGAGGAATCACAACAGCATATACTTGGCCTTTTAATCCTTATGGTGCTTTGAGACTGTAGAATCACGCTAAGTGAAAGATCCCCAAACGTTGGGATGCTGAGTTTCTGGCCTGTTGATTTCCTACTCTGTGCAGGGTACTACAAAGCCCCTTAGTATAAATATGAGGGAGCTACATAAACACATTGAGACTAGGCCAACTGTCAGGCCATTGCTAGAAAGAAAGGGTTAATTGTTTTGATTTTTTTTCCATTTCTCTATTTCTTTACTCTCCTAACAACCCCTCGGGATTGGTAGAGTCAGGAAGAATCAACCCATCTTCTAAGTGGGAAAGGAAAGCACATTGTGGTTGTATTTATCCAAGTCTTACACACAGAAAGATGAAGGCTAATTCTAGGACTAATACAAGGGCTGAAATGGTCCTTATGAGCCAGTGGCCTCATTTTATAAATAAGGACTGTGAGGCCCATAGACATCGAGTAGCTTGCGTAAGGACACAGAGCGTGCCAAAGACAGAATTGAGATTGGAACCTTGATCTCTTCACTCTCAGCTAATAAATGTTCCACAAGACTAGGCCTCCCTTCCTTAAGGTTTTGACTGCCTAGAACTTGAAAAAAGTTCAACAGCAAAGATGAATTCTATCATAAACCCACAAGGATAAAAAGTGTGGGGGCAAAGGTGGCCTCCAGAGGGCTTGGTGAGCGTTACCTCCAGAATCAGAGGAGAAGGGAAACTGACCGAAGGTAACTCAACCCCCTCCCCTGGAGAAGCATCCTTTCTCCCGCTTTCTGTGATACCGAATTGGGTGGCCTCTTGCTCACTTCCAACAAAAGTGGTGGGGATCTTGTAACCTTGCCAGGCAACTCATGCTGTAATTGAGTTATTAGGAAATTCCTTCTTCCATATGTCTTCTCTGTGTCAGATGGCAACTAGCTTTATTTTCATCAGCTAATTTTAATTAATTCAAATGGAACAACTGGTGATATGCTCTCATATCTGAGACCACATGTGCAGTTTTATGCCTACCCTGCAGGCCTCCTTGATGAGACAGCTGGTGTGCTGGTGGCCCGTTAACTCGGTCACACCCACCCTCCACTCTGTGCCCCCCAGCGTCCTGGAGATGCCAGAGCCCTACCTCCATCATTGTCTTTGCTGTCACCACAGGCGGTTTCCATGGACGTATCACAGCCAGCTCCTCTCCAGCCCAGCTGGCAGACGCAGTGCCACCCGTTCAGGTCCAGGGTGCACCTGCCGTTGCCATTGCACAAGCCGGGGCAGCCCTCTGCAAGGCAAAGCACATGGATTCAAGGTCTGGTCACCCGCGGCCAACTGTAGCCACACACACTCACACTCTACCTGCCAACTTACAAAGTGCTTTCACATCCATCAACACACCGATGCCTTCAGCAGCAGGGGAGGCCTATCACTGGAACTGTCACTTTACCTCGGAGGCCACTGAGACTCAGAGGTGGAAGGCCTTGCTAAGGCTGCCCAGCCAGGAAGTGGCAGGGATAGGTCTGAAACCCACACCTTCTGCGTCCCAAACGCCCTCTTTCAAAAGCAACCAGGACTCTAGAGCAGGAGTCAGCGGATACGGGCTTGTTCGAATCTAACCAGTGTAGCTTTTTGGCTGATCTCTGCTCCTTGTTCACTCTTCTGTGCTTTTCCCGTCCCTGGTGGCTGTTCAGAACAAAGGGGTCATCTCTCTGCTTACTCTACTTGTCCCCTCAGCACTTCTGGGTCTCGCCCTAAAGGGCTGTACTTTTTTTAGGTCCTGTTATTTGGTCAATTCTATTGGACCTTAGGCTTTTTATTTCTTTCGTCCTGTTTTCTCCTCAGTGGCTGTCTTGGCTTTGAGGTAGAGTCCTTGAGTCTTTTTCTTCCCATCTTATCTCCAGCCAGCCATTCAGAAGAGTCCAGCTGACTGCCACGAGAGAGAAAAACTGGAGCTGTCTATGGTTACCAATGCAGGTTAGGGCAGCCTGCCCTTCCCTAATCTTGTTCATCTGTACATCTGTCTGCCTGTCTGCCATTTATTAAGCACCTTCTCTGGGCTAGCACTGGAGGTGCAGAGATGAATAAGCCCTAGTTCTTATTCTTGAGGAACGTGTAGCCTATCAAGGGAGACAGATTTGTATAAGCAAAATATTTCACTACTAAGTGCCCTGAGGGAGATGTACAAAACATGGTGGGAGCCAAACACAGGAGTGGCCATCTGTCTGAGAGAGCTGAGGATGATTTAATCAAGGAGGGTCAGGCAGTGTTTAGATGCTGCCTTGATTCTGCTTTGACTGCATCATGAGGTGGGGAGTTATTATTATTCAGGTAGATTTGCCAGTTTTTGCTCATCATGTTTTCAAACCCCTCTCCAACTTCGTGGCTCAGAAATCTATCTCTGAGAATCTGTTTAAGTTACATGGTTGACTCCAGCTTCTATTTTGCCACTTGGTTTTCATTCAGTTTTGCATTTTAACTAAGCTGCCCACCCCTTTTTCAGAGGGGCTAGCAAAAATCACCTTCCCTGGTATGCCTTGTGTATCTTCTCCCTGCCTCTGCTTAGTCTCAGGGAAGCGTACGGATGTGAAAGCACTCTGCCAACTAGAAAACCTGGTTTATTATCATGAGAAGCAAACTGCTACAAATACAGCTATAAACTGAGTTTTCTATCATGAAATAACTAAAAGCAGACCCATTATTCTTAAATGGGACAAATGTGAATGTGGCTGTCCGGTACAAGACCTAGGCCAAGGCAGGCACTTCCTAAATGGTTGAACAATTAGATTCTAAAACTGTAGTGTTTCAAGGACTTTTCAATAGTTGACTCTTATTACAAAATAAAAAAAAAAAGAACACGTTCATTTATATTTGAGATGTTCAGCACAGCCACCAATCAATCAGTCTGGCCACTGTGTTTTCCATTCCAAGAAGAAACATCTATTGAGTGTGTACACCAAGCCTAGGAGGGATTCTTGTAGAAGTTTTGACGCAGATGTAGCCTATGTGGTCTTTGCACAGACGTCTACTGGGAAAGGTGGGAAGCTACCAGCATGGCCATCCCAAAGATGATTGAGAAAGCAGTTGTAAAAGTTCAGGGAGCAGTGCTGTGACGTGCAGGTACCACCCTGGCATTCTGACTTAGATCAAGCCAGCCCTCTTGATCTAAACAATTACAGACTCCCTCTTTCTCCAGTTAGTCCCATTTAAAGTTTTGCCCATCCAGCTGGGACTTCTTTTCAATTAAGCCTTATATATATTTGAAATCAGTCTTGGAGGAAGAAGAATCCAAGGGTTAAGAATGGTCATAGGCGGCCTTTTCTTGCTCCAAGATGTAGCCTCTTCTATGATGCAAAGAACATCTCTTATGTAAGAGCACAAGCTTGGGGGCCATATCAAAGTCACTCAATGGCTGTATGACCCAGCCACCTTATTTAATTTCTTTGAGCCTCAGTCTACTTATAAAATGGGAGGATTTGTTGTTGGGAGGATTAAATAAGATAACGTATGCATGATGCTCAAAGACGGACATACAGCTTGAACACAATATCTGACTCTTCAGCTTACCTTGACCTTCTCTCTAGTTTGATTAGATGGACTATAATTTCATAAGTTGTACCCATAACTTCAGGTAGGGGTCATAGAAAGACAAAATGGGAAACTGAGTCAGTTATCTAGATCAGAGTCAGCAAGCTTTTTCTGTAAAGGTCCAGGTAATAAATATTTTAGCCTTGTGAGTCACATGGTCTTTGTTGCAATTACCCAACTCCGCCATTATAGCTTGAAAGCAGCCACACAATTTATAAAGGAATGGGCACGGCTCTGTTCCAATAAAACCTTATTTACAAAAAACAGGGGATGAGCCAGATTTGGTCTGTTTGCTGCAGTTTGCCACAGCCTGGTTTAGATGCTTCGGGACAATGATGACAATGACATTTGCCATACACTGAGGGTCTACTATGGCTTGTCACTGTGCTAGACATTCTACATATATTATTTCCAAACTAAGTAACTTTTTGTTATATTTTTCAAATCCTGATTTTCTAGCATATTGCCAATTTCACACCATTTGATCCTAAATTTTTCATAAAAACCATGTGTTACAACAGAGTGGGGACTTTGGAACTAGACAGAAATCAGTTCAAATCCCAGCACCCCCGTTTACTTACTATCCATGTGATTACTGGCAAATTATTTAACTCTCTAAGCTTTAAGCTTTAGTTTTCTCACCTGTAAAATGGAGCTAATACCTAATCCAAAGAGTTGTTGAGAAGATTAATGGGATATTGTATATCAACTATTTAGCATAGTGGGTAACAGAGGTAGGTATTTAATAAATGATAGCTGCTATTATTATAATTAGGGTTAACTGTTTTAACATTGTATAACTTCACTCACAAATTCACAAACCAGAAAATAACCCTTTGCCAGTCCAAACTGTTTCAAAGTTTGGGTCAAAAGCTATGGTCCTCCTAAATACGAACCTTGCCAGAGAGCTGAGACAAACCAACCTAGTGACTTGGTCATGGGGCGAACATACAGCTCAGCAGGAAAGCAGCAAGATGGGGTCAGGGCCACAAGTCCCAGCCCAAGCCCACTGTGTCATCTTTCCTGGGACTCTGCCCTTCTCCTTGAGAACAACTGTCCCAAGCATACGTACATTATTACTTTTGCCATAGCTTAATGTCTTATTCCCTCCATTAGAATCTGAACTCCATAAAGGTAACTCGGGACCTAATTCATTGCCTTGAACATAGCCAGCACTTAGTATATATTTGCTATGAATCAATGAATGAGACAGGAGACCTAGGGTCTGTACCTCCTGCCTGGCTAACATATGGGATCTTGGGAAAGTTACTCTTTCTCTTTTGGTCTCAGTTTCCTCATCTATGACATGGAGGTTTGAATGAGATGATCAGTTAGGTCATCTACAACTACCCAACAGAGAAGGTCAAAACAACTTTAAATTTGATGATTTTGTTCTTAATTTCAACAAACTTAGCACCCAAAGAATGGCAGGCATGTGTTAATTCTGGGCTACACAGAGATGTGATATAGTCTCTGCCCTCAGTAATTTTATATTCTATTTATCTATACCCTACTTTCTTCCAGGACCATTTTAAATGGGTCTTAAAATCTCAAACAATACTTTTCAAAGTAAATTCTGTGAACTGCTAGTTCTATGAGGTCCTCAAAAACTAGCTTCTGTGGTCAAATAAGTCTGGAAAACTATACAGCTTATATTCTTATTCTAGAGCGTCACACTGCATAGCAATACATTAAAGGCTCTGAGAAATCTCACAATAAAGAGACCCACTTATTTGATTACCAGAACATTTTCCAGTTGGACCTCAGAACTCTCTCCCCACCACACACAATCATTCACAATAATGTGGAATATTCCATTCCACAGAAGCCTCTTTGGGAACCCTGCTCTAGTAAACAACTCTTAGCACACGGTGCCTGGTGCACACATCCTGTGCTGCTCTAAACCTGTGGAGGAGCCCGTGGTCCAGGGAGGGTAAGCTCTACACGTGAAATCACAGGAACACTCTCTTCACAGTCAGTTTCTTCAAATGGACAAGCTTATGCCCTGAGGGTTTGCCCTGTCTGATCAGCCTCCAGGTTCCAGAGAGACCTGGAGTACCTGTGGCTTGAATGAGGTCTGCTCTCAGGCTGCAGTCTGCTTCTGGGATAGTCACATCCCCATTAGTCAGGAAGAGTAAGCCTCCTCTGGGGTGACTTGCTGCCTTTCTTAAAGCTATACGGCCATCCTTACCCACTGCTAAAGCTCGTTAATTCCACAAACGCTGAAACTCATCAATAATTCAGAGAGCCTAAGTGACATGAACAATCCCCTCTGGAAGGACTCACACCAGGCATTTTCTAGAGCCAAAATAATGTAATTTTAAGGTTTAGAGGAGGGCCAAGCTTTTCAAAAGAAACGATGCCCTTTAAATGACAAGCGACCACTTTATCTTCAACCTTCTGCTTAAGCTTGTGAAGAAGGCTCCCCGGAAGCATCAGGCGTGACTAGAAGGCTTTCAGAACCACTGAAGGTATTTATTTCTTACTCAAGTGGTAAAGGAGCTATGCGACACACTTACCATACAATAAATGCCCCATTTCTCGATGTTTCTCTTTCTGGGCTTCTTGTACTTTTTCATCCCTACAGACATTCCCTAGACAAGGTCACCATTATCTCCTACCTAGATGACAGCTGCAGTCTCCTAATTGGTCTCTTTGTCCCCAAATGTTCCTCCTCAACTCCTTTTCCACAATATGGCCAGACAGATCCTTCCAAATCACAAACGTCACCAAGTCATTATCCTGCTTTAAAAAATCTTCAGAAGCTTCTCACGTGTTATAGTCCACAGTCTTGGTCTATGAGTCCCTGCCTAAGTTGTGGAGTTGGGGGGCAGTCTCCTTGCTAAGTGGCCATGGGACTTCCTCTATCACAACTTTCAACATACTTTTTGGGATAGATTTGTTTTAGTGTCTTCTCTGGTAGGCTGTGGGGAACCCCAGAGCAGAGACCGTTTCTGCCGTGTGGTGTCCACACTGCCCAGCACTTAGGAGAAGTTCAGCATGCTCACTGAGTGAATACTGTTTCTTCAGTGTCTACCAATGCAACCAGAAAGCAAACAACAAGAGCTGGCTTCTCTCTGAACTGCAAAATAGTACTCTGAAAAGTCCTGAGCTTGCATTGTATCGACCTCTGAATACTTTCTGAGGGATTATAAGTACTCATTATACCACAAAGTCAGCCGGATGGGGGCTTTGTCCAGACCTAGATTTTGGCAAGAAACATTTGTCTTTTAAAGGAAGTTACAATTCTTGGGCCTAATCCAACTAAAGATTTGGTGATATTTT